GCCTATCATCCAAAAATAATTTGTTAGCATTTTGATGCCTATTTTAGACTTTTAAAATGCAAATCGCATCTATAATTTGTTGCAGTTAAAGAGGGGACCTGCCCTGTGCTATTTTGTATCTTGCATCTTCTCCTCCACCCAGCATCCATTTAGAGCAAACACTGTCTCAGGAACTAAATATATTTCAAACGCCTCATTTTTAAGGACGCGGCGAGGAATTCCATTGAGCAAATGGGCGGTGACTTATGTAATCATGTTCCTATTTAAGGACTTTTACGTTGGGCGCGGAGAGATAGTGCCGCAGAACCTGGGGACGAAGCTCTGAGACAACTAGAAAAATGGGAGGTTGGTGGACAGCTGGCTAGGTCGCTTAAGCACACAGGGACGGAGAAAAGAGGGGGGCAAAGGTCGCTGCCGGCGGAAGCACTGGGCCTGTGAAGTCGGATTTGGACGCCGCGCGAGGCAGAGAGGGGGTGGTTCTCAAGGTCAAAGGGTGGCAGATGGGTTGAACCCGAGACCCACCCAACTAACGGGATACGCGCCCCAAGGCCCAAAAGCTGATGCGCCGCCGCTGCTCACCAACAGAGGGCGCTATGTCCTCACCAGTTCGCGGTGGGCGGCTCCCAGCTGCTGGCCAGATGTAGGCAGCTGGACCGCGGGAGGTGCGAAGCACTACCCGAGCCTCTGCAGACCCGCAGGCGGAGGAGGAGGGGGTCGAATAAGGGACCGCAGGGGGCAAGGGTAGTGGTAGATTACTCCACTGTCGCAGCTCTGCAGACTCCCGGATTGCCTTCCCCTGTCCCACAGAAGAGGCGCGCCTCCAACCCAGGGGGGTCGCCGTTTTCTGCTTGCCACCAAAGTGCAGTCTGGGCTGGCCGCGGCCCTGGGCTGCCTTAGCATGCCCGAGAGGGTTCCACAGGGCGTGGCGCGGGGCCACGAGAGACTCACGCAGCAGTCTGCAGCGGGAAAGAGAGCTAGACCCAGCCCTTGACTCCAGATGCCCCAACATACACACACACACACACACACACACACACACACACACGCACCATCTCTGAGCTCTTTCTGCTCTGGGGTGCGGTGTGCATTGGAGGAGTGAGAAACTGAGGCACAGCAGGGTGGCACTAAGCAGATCTCTCCTCCCCATATTGCCTGGGGCCAAGAAACTGCGCTAGAGTCCGAAGCTCCAGTGAAGGTCTCTGGGGCCAGGGACAACCCAGGGACACCGCCCCCTTGACCTGCTCGCTGTCCCCACCCCTGGCCGCTCCCCAGGCTCAGACTGGGGTAATCAGCTGCTGCATGCTGCTGTAATTGGCGGCGCAGACCCGGCCTAGCGGAGGACCGGCGGGTGGCGCAGAGGCAGGCGAGGGGCTTAATTGCAGGGCTTTGGCCAACAGTCTGGGCTGCAACTCCACTCGGGGGAAGGGAACGGGCCCCTTAGGTTCGCAGGCCCAGCTTTGGAAGAAGCCAACGGCCTTCGGGTAGGTAGACAGGGATTCCTTCCCCGGAAAATTGGGTTTCGTGATGGGGGTGTTGAACCCCAGCGAGGGTGAAAGGGGGAGGAGCGGGATGCTTCGGGAGAGCTGCGGGGGTGGTGGGGGCAGATTCCTAGCTCCCCACCCAAACTCCAGAATCCCTGGTTAGTCTAGTCCGAGACTCCTCCCTCTTTCTGACCCCCCTTCCCCTTTCTGCCGCCCCCTTACCCCCCTTCTTGTATCCCCAGGGCGCTCCCACCCTGGGGAAGAATGTGCCCTCCTTGCGCACCCTTGCCATGGTAACGGCACACCCCCACCCCCGCGCACCGCAGCGGCCCGGCCTGGCCCTGCGGGCGGAGAGGAAAGAGGGGGGCGGGCGCCTCCCAGCCCCGAGGACACACCTCGGCTGCCCTGGTTACCACAGTAACCGGGGGCATTCCAAAGTGCGCAGCCGCGAAGTGGTAAAGGGCTCCCTCACGATCTCATACCCCCATAACCCACCAGCAGGGGTTAGAGGCTCCAGGGAGAGACCTCCTTTGCGGCAGCCCTAACTTCAAGGACAAGGTCCAGAGAGAAATCATGAAGTGTCCCAGCTTCCACGCACCGCAAGCCTAGGGAGCAAAGGCATCTGAGGCCCCTAAAAGCCTGGCACCTGAAAAGGGATATGCCAGTCGCCAACTTGTCCTCCTCCCCACCAGAGCCCGAGGGAGGCGCTGGCAGCAGGAAGCCGGGGAAGGGCCCGGAGGGGCGCAGGCCCCACAGCCGAGCGGTGATTACAGGGACCTGTCCCTCCCGCCCCCGGCTCCCACTCTCATTAAGTCATTTTTTCCCCTGTTGGAAAGTCCCCGTGCCTTGAGCGCAGGGGCTGGGGCGACCGCAGGCAGCTGCCGGCAACCACATGAGAAGCGGGGGGAGGAGGAGAGAAGGGGGATGTGACTACAGCCTGGCCAAGCTCCAACGTGGAAGGCCCCCTGCAGGGGGCTAGCTGAAGGCGCCTTAATTTGGGGGAAGTAGGGGGAGCTCTGGGATGTCCCTGACCTTGCTTCTCACCCGCCGGGGCACTCCTACAGCTCCAAGTCTACCTTTGAATGCTTCCACCCTGGACCTTGGGTGACTGCAAAGCAGGATGCCTGCGTTCTGATCTCATCCCAGCCTGGCTGCCCCCTCTAACCCTTAACCCCACCACTGCCTCTGACCTGTCCACCACCCTCATTCTGTTGGTTCCTTTCCTCCTCCTCCTTTTTCCTCCTCCTTTTTCTGTCCATCAGGCCAGAGAAGGGGAGGTCCTCTCCTTCTCTGAATGATCTCTAGCCACCTTCTGTTCTCATTTCTAGATCTCACCCCTGGGTACATCATAGGCTGTTGGCAAGTTCTTCTTCCCATCAAAACTGCACCCTCCCACTTTATTGCAGCCCATTTCCCCTATTTCCTGTCAGCTTATTGATCCCTGCCTCAACCTTCATCTAGTATGCAGAAGCCCAGTGCTTATTGGGCCCCATTTTCCCACCCTCCATCACCTCCACATTTTCCTAACTTAGGTCCCTTATCAAGTCCCATACACCCACTTTCAACTGTGGGCATCAGCTTCGGTCTCAGAATTCTAGTCAGCCTCTGGGCTTCACAGGCTAGGCTAGCACATATCAGATCACCTTGACTTATGTCATTAAAACATGTCCCCTCCCTACAACTCGGTGTCCAGCATCCTGCCCCACCCAACCACCCACCCCTCTCTCTGTATTCAACATATGCTCTGTAGCATGGCTGTGCCTACCTTCTTATCCCAGGCCTGATCCTCTACCTCTCCTCTGCAGTCTCCCCTCCCCCAACTCGGTCCTCCTTAAGCCTGGAAGGCAGAGGAGGGTTAGGCTAGTGCTCCTGTTGCAGCGGACTCTGTTGGGCATGGCAGCACCCCCTCAACCCCAGGCCTCCATTTCCCCCACTTCTCTCCTCCTCCCTGGGGTGGAAAACCCAGCCCCCACAGCTCTCTCCTAGGTGAACCAGAGGAAAGGAATGAGGCAGGTGTGTCTGGCTGCTCCTGCCTACCCCTCCTCCTGGGGGACTCTCACCCGCCCGCCTGTGGGGCTGTCTTTTGGGGGTGGGGAAAGAAACCCTGTCCTGCAGAGAAGCAGCAGAGCTGAGCATTTGGAAGGCCCGGTGCCATAGGAATGCCTTTGAGCTGCTGGGATGAGGGCAACTGGAGGAGGAGAAAAGGGGCAAGCTCTTGGGGGCAAATCTCCAGGCTGGTGGGCCTACTGGAGTGTATCACTAAGAGAGCCCCCTTTCCTTCTCACTCCTACACAGGGGTAGGGAGACGTGGGTCAGGGGTGGAAAATATGGGGGATTTGTGCAGGCTGACCGTGGGGGAAAGGAACAAGTCTTCATCCTTGCTTGGCTCATTAAGAGGGCTGCTATTCTGTGGTAAATCGAGGCAGCCAGCAGGATCCCCAAGGTTGAACAGCAAGAGGCCAGAATCCCTGAGATCCTGACCTCACTTCCCTCTTCACTGCCATCCTACTTGAGGGTCTATTCCAGAAAAACAGCAGATCCAAGAGCTTAGGAGAGTGCAACACTGGACCACACTGCTCTGCACTGTCCTGGTAGGGATCTGAGGGTGGGGAGGCATTGCTGACCTGCTAAGGAGCACCCTGATATGAAGATCTGGGAGCACAAGAAGCCCGGGAAAAATGTGCCCCCTGCACCTTACTTACATACCCAGCCTCTCCTGCCTGGACTCAGAGAGACCAGAATCCAGACAGTGAGTCTCCGGGCCCTCCTCCGCCGCCCTTTTCCCAGCCGCACCTCCTGGCCCCACCTGCTCCCCGGGGCGCTGGGCTGGGCTGAGCTGGGTCTTGCCCAGGATTACTCCTCTGAGTGCCTCCTGCCTCTGCAGACAGTTGCTGCTGGGCACGGCCACTCGTCCTGGCTTGTGGCAGAGGGCTCAGGCACAAGGTGGGCGGTTAGAGCTCTGGCACCAGGGCCCTTCTCCACATCCCCACTGCCTCCAACTAGTCCAAGCCCCAACTCTGACTTAGAAGATGGTTATTATTCTGACACTGGTTTGCCAGCTATCACCTTGTCCCCCTGCAGCCAGTTCCCCATCAGCGATCCACATGAGACTCGAACAATGACACTCCCCTGCTTAAGAATCTCAAGGTTCCCATTCCTCTTTAATAAAAGCCCAACTCCTTACCTTGGCTTAGAAAGACACACGATGTGACTTTTGCCCCACCCTCTGAGCACCTCTCCTGTTAGTCTGTCCCTTGATTTCTTCACGGGACTCACAATGGCCCCTTTGCTGTTCCTCCAGCAGGCAGAGAGCTTTCTCGACTCACAATTTCTGCCTTCACATGGCCTCTGCCTGGAAAGCCCTTACCTGCACTCTACATGGCTCTTAAGGTGCAGGAGCCAGCATGGGTATCACAACTCAGAGAGGCCTTCCCTGACCAGTGGTTTGTCTGAGGAGCCCCGCTCCCCACAAATCCCCCTACACCCAGCAGCCTGCACATAACATTGTCTGAAATGATGTTGTTTGTATATTTACTTGTTTATTGCCCACGCCTCCCCCCAGCAAGAATGTAATCCCAAGAGGACAAGTGCTGTGTCTTGCTTACTCACATCTGCGGCCCCAGTGCCTAGTATTGCTGTCCCTACCCACCCCACCACCCCCAGAGTGCCGCAAAGAGAGTGCAAAATAAATATTTGTTAAATGAATGATGAGGGGAATAGTGGGGGAGGCTGTCTGGGGCCTCTACGGAATCACTTGGGTTCAATTATGTCTATTTCTTTTTTTTTTTTTTAATCCTCCTCTGCCCACCAGCCTCCATTCATTCCACCACCCCGTCTCCAGGGAAAGGGTGAAATGATGGACAGACTGAGGGGCTGCCTGGCTGACGCTTGTTTTAGGGTATGGGGCAACCCCCAGCCCAACTGAGCTATCTGGACTTGGGGGAGAGAGGAAGAGGCCAATCAGTCCTAGAGCCCACAGAAATGACTGGTGGGGTTCAGACAGGCCTGGACTGTCCGGCGAGCACAGACCTCAGAACTGGGACGTGCCTATAAGATCATGTGGTCCAATCTCATCTCCCAAGAGCCAAGGCGATGCTGCCTGGCCAAGACCGTAAGCCTCAGAGTGCCAGGCTCCAGGAGGGGATCTCGAGCAGGGCCCAGGGGATCCCGGGCCGCTCACTTGCAGACGCTGACCCACTCGGTGATGCGGCACTCTTCGCAGACCACGAAACAGCACCAGTGGAAACGGCAGTGGCAGCGCTCGCTGCGCGTCTGGCGCAGGATGTTGTGGCCGCGACCGCAGCACATGCTGCCGCAGCCATCCGAGCCCGCGCTGCTCTTGTTGCACAGGCGGCCCACGGTGCCCGCCGAGTCCAGGCGCGGCTCGCGCTCGCAGAAGTCGGGCGACTTCTCAAAGTAGACCAGGTCGGCGGGGCTAGCCCGGCGGCGCGGCCCGGGAGCGCCCGGAGCGGGCGAGGGTGCCCCCGCTGGGCCTGGCTCCAGCTGGCCGCCGTTGCGGTTGTGCGGCCGGATGAGCGTGGCGCGGTGGAAGCGGCTGCGCAGCAGCGCCCCCACGGTGCGAAACTCCGGCGTCACCTGCCAGCACGTCTTGAGCTGGCAGCTGCCTGACGTGCCGTGGCACTTGCACTTCCGCCGCATGTTCTCCATCACCGCCTGCGGAGGGAGGTACCGTGAGGGGTGACATCGGCGGCCAACCCCACTGCCCTCCGCCCAGCGCGGAGCCTGGCCTGCTTCTGAAACCCACTCCCATTGTACAGAGGCAAACGCTGAGGCCCGGAGCAAGGGTCCCACAACCAGGCAGTCAGGAGAACTCCTGTGCCTGCTCCTCTGCCTCTGCCTCTCCCACCCACCTCCCACCAGGCCAGGCCTGGGGGAATTCCCACCTTCCGGCTCCCCTCCTCTCCTGCCCACCTTTCCAGCAGCTGCAGGGGGGCCTTGGGGCTGGAGGCTCTTGCTTCCTGAAGGGGGATCCCAAATCAGCAGGGAAATTCCCTCTCCCGCCACCCCTGGGGTGGGGGTCAGGAGCAGGAGGGTGCTAGCCCCAGTATATCTCGCACCAGGCTCTGTGTGTGTGTGTGTGTGTGTGTGTGTGTGTGTGTGTGTGTGTGGTGGGTTGGGGGGGTTCAGTGAGGTTGAGAAAGCCTTGGTCCCCCTCTCAGTCCTTCTCCCTCCCACTCCCCTTCCTCTCTTTGTGAAGAGCCAAAGGCGAGGGACAAGTGCTGGGAGACTGCCCCCGATTATGCTGCCTGGGGCTCATTCTGACTATGCTGAGACCCATAGTTCCTCCTAGGAAGTCATCGCCACCAGGGGCCAAAGCTCTACCTGAATACAGAACGGAACCAAAGAGAGCCAGCCTCTCCAGCCCAGTGAGAGTGGAGAGAGGCTCCCAGGCCTCCAAGGGAGGTGGTTATGGGAAAACAACCTGGCTGCCCTCCACCCAGCTCACAGCCTGCTCTAGAGTCTCCTCCCTAAGAACTCTTTGACGTTATTTTCACCAGAAACCCTGTGAGAAGTTGGCCATATCCCCTCCTTTCCTTTAGTCCACTCCAAAAACACACCCTCAGATAGTGACAGCAATGAGCCAGGGCCCTTAAACTTGGGCCGTAAGAGAGGGTGCCTTCCCCTCGAGGTCTGAAAGGGCTCCACAGTGGGCATGCGCAGCCTGTGTTGTCAGCACCACGTGGGAACCAGCCCGATGCCTCCCCAGGCCAACAGCTCCAGAACATCTGCTTCCCACGGCAGCAGCCATTAATTAACCAATTTAACGAGGAGGGGGAGGAGGCACCGTTGTTATGGGCTGGGATGGTGATGAAGCTTGGGAAAAGAGCTGTACAGGGCAGGCTGGGTGGGAGCTGGACATGACCCCAGGCTAAGTGTGCCTCAGTTTACCCCACCTCTAAGTCAAGATGGGAATTGCTGAATCAGCTTGGAGTCTTTGTGCAGGAAGAAATGAGTCGTCATAGGCTAAGAGACCAAGAGAGGACGGTCACAGTGGCTCATGCCTGTAATTCCAGCACTTTGGGAGGCCAAGACGGGTGGATCATGACGTCAGAAGTTCAAGACCAGCCTGGCCAAGATGGTGAAACCACATCTCTACTAAAAATACAAAAATTAGCCAGGCACAGTGGCAGGTGCCTGTAATCCCAGCTATTTGGGAGGCTGAGGCAGAAGAATCGCTTGAACCCGGATGGCAAAGGTTGCAGTGAGCCAAGATTGCGCCACTACACTCCAGGCTGGGTGATAGAGTTAGACTCCATCTCCGAAAAAAGAAGGCTAATATGTAGGAAAGTGCTCAAGACAGTAAATGAAGGCTATTCTCACTTTCTTTTCTTCTTCTGTTTTTTAAATGCATGTGTGTATGTATTTAATTTATTTTTAATGAATGACCTTTGAGGTAGTAGGATTTGAGGGCAGAGGACCAAGGAGGAAGGCACCATAACATAGTTCCACAGCGGCCCCTAGGAACTTCACTAACACCCCTTACTTTGCAGGAATCCCTCATTCTAGACTGCACAGAAAGGCTAGGAGAGATCACCGGATCATGGAACATTAGCATTGTGGAGGGGAACATTAGGGATGATCTAGTTCAACTAGATAGGGAAGGAGTCAGATGGCAGCGCCAGGCCTAGACTCCTGCAGTCCTGACTGCGGGCCCTGTCCTTTCTCCTGGGTGATCACCCGAGGAAGTAGGAGAGGCAGGTTGCTCAGCAGGTGGTGTGCTGATCCGGGGCAGCAGGGCTCCTTTCAGCCCTGTATCCACAGGCCTAGTCCAGTGCCTGGTGCACAGCACATACTCAGTTCATGTTTGCTCAATGAGTTAGACAGGGTCAATGAGAAGATTGCCAAGGTGGCACGTGCCTGGGCAAGGGGTAGGCCCTAGGCAAAGGGATTTGAAGCGGACCCAGGGGGCGGGGTTCTCACCTGCCTCCCGACTCGGTTGTTGTGAAGCCTCATTCTCGCATGGATGTCTCTGTGAGGCTCCCGAGAGTCCAGAAAGTCCTTAGAGAAGCGTTCCCCGAAGCCCATGTCGGGGCTGCAGCCGCCCCACTCCCAGGAGTCCTGCAGGCCTGGGCTGGCTGTGGGCAGGGCTGGGTGTTCCGGGACCCCATGGCTCAGGCCCTTACCACGCTGCAGTGCGTCCAGTTGCAGGCGGTGCAGCTTCCTACGGAAGGCCTCCTCATCCCCTCGCCGGGACGCGTCGCAGCCACAGGCCTTCAGTTTGCCCAGGGCACATGCATTGGACACCGCGTGCACCACACCAGCTGCCGCGATGGCATAGGCAAAAGCGCTCTCTCGGAAACCTGTGATTAAAGACCCAGAACACATGGGCTCTGGAGGGGCCTTAATACCCTATTCTCCAGCCCACCCTTCTCATCATTCCAAGGAGAGACTGAGGCCAAGTATGCAGGACAGTCTGGAACAAGGACACAGAGTCAAAGAAGGGCAGAAATCACACCAGAAGCCAGCTGTTCTATACACAGGACCTGGTGGGATGGAGGGGGGCGGTTTCCCAATAGCCCTCTGCTTTTTGTACTCCCTCCTCCTGTTCCTTAACATCACCTTTAGCAAACTCAGAATTTGTATGTCTACGTCTCTACTATAGAGCAGAAAGTATATGGCAAACACATTCTTTTTACAGTCAGGGATTTAATCTATAACTTCTCACAGTGGTATCCACAATTTTAAAATAAGCCCACAGCATGAGGGCAACATTTAATCTAAACAATACATTGGCCGGGCGAGGTGGCTCACGCCTGTAATCCCAGCACTTTGGGAGGCCGAGGCGGGTGGATCACGAGGTCAGATCCAGATCATCCTGGCCAACATGGTGAAACCCCATATCTACTAAAATTCAAAAAAATTAGTTGGGTGTGGTAGTGTGTACTTGTAGTCCCAGCTACTTGGGAGGCTGAGGCAGGGGAATCACTTGAACCCAGGAGGCAGAGGTTGCAGTGAGCCGAGATCACATCACTTGTACTCCAGCCTGGCAACAGAGCCAGATTCCTTCTCAAAAAAAAAAAAAAAAGGAATACATTGCCAGTGATGCTGCTGAGGGCAATGTGGTAGGAATGTAAACTAGTACAATCAGTGTGGAGATTCCTCAAAGAACTAAAAGTAGAACTACCATTTGATCCAGCAATCCCACTACTGGGTACCTACCCAGAGGAAAAGAAGTTATTATATGAAAAAGATCCTTGCACATGCATGTTCATAGCAGCACAATTTGTAATTGCAAAAATATGGTATCAGCCCAAATGTCCATCAATCAACAGGTGGATAAAGAAATTGTGGTGTATACATGCCATGGAATACTCCTCAGCCATAAAAAGGAGCAAAATAATGGCATTCATAGCAATCTGGACGGAATTTGAAACCATATTATTCTAAGTAACTCAGGAATGGAAAACCAAACATCCTGTGTTCCCACTTATAAGTAGGAGCTAAGCTATGAAGATGCGAAGGCATAAGAATGATATATTGAGCCGGGCACGGCAGCTCACACTTGTAATCCCAGCACTTTAGGAGGCCGAGGCGGGCAGATCACAAGGTCAGGAGTTCAAGACCAGCCTGTCCAATATGGTAAAACCTCGTTTCTACTAAAAAATACAAATATTAGCCAGGCATGGTGGCATACACCTGTAGTCCCAGCTACTTGGGAGGCTGAGGCAGGAGAATCACTTGAACCTGAAAGGCAGAGGTTGCAGTGAGCCGAGATTGTGCCACTGCACTCCAGCCTGGGTGACAAAAAGAATGACACATTGGACTTCTTTGGGTACTCTGGGAAAGGGTGGGTGTGAAGAGAGCGATAAGACTACACATTGGGTACAGTGTACACTGCTCGGGTGAAGGGCACACCAAAATCTCAGAAATCACCACTAAAGAACTTATTCAACCAAACACCACCTGTTCCCCAAAACCTATTGAAATAAATAAATAAATGATATTTCATAAAATAAACTGTACACAATTTTGGGGGAAAAAAAAGAATAAATCGCCAATGATGGAATTACAGGCCTTAGGAGATGTCATTCGGCAGTGGGGTAAGTAAGAGGGACAGTCAGCTCCTAATGCTCCCTGCCCAAGGCAGTCTGCAGGATGCATGCCCATCTTAGGCTCAGCATAGGACCCTCCTTAATGGCCAGACTCCAGAGGTAGAGAAATGAGTCAGCAGAGCTACCCCTTCCTTGTCCACAGGACATCACTGAAAGCCACTCAGAAATGGGCACTACCCAGCCACCTTGCCTGTTGGAGGGACACTAGAGGGGAGTCCAGGCTCTTGCACGTAGTGGTGTTGAACATCAAGAGAGAAAGGTAAGCTGAGGCAGACACCAGATGGCTCAGGAGGCACAGACACTCCCTGACCAAGCCACTCTTGGGGGCCGCGGCTGGGCTGGCCTGGCCACTAGCTTGTCCACACTGCCTTCCGTCTAGGTGCTCCAGCCTGAGCCATTCTCTGGGAACACCTGGACCTGTGGTAGGGGGTGTTCCCAGAGACCCTACTTGCAAAGGAGGGTCCCACTCTCAGACCTGCAGGCTACCTCCTGCTTATTCTGCATCTGAGAAAGGACCAGCTAGGAGCAAGTTCTGGTCCAAGTCTCCGACCAGCCTCCACACACCAGAGAGAGGGCAGGCAGCAAGAGAAGCCAGAGGCCCTAGGCCAATCCCACCTTAATCCTCACCCCCTGCATCACAGAGCCCTGTTCTCCCCTTCCTGCCAAAAAAAAAAAAAAAAAAATGCTGTTTAGTAGTTAAGAACCGATTCCTGGCTGGGCACAGTGGCTCATGCCTGTAATCCCAGCACTTTCGGAGCCCGAGGTGGGCAGATCACCTGAGGTCAAGTTCGAGACCAGCCTGACCAACGTTGTGAAACCCCATCTCTACTAAAAATACCAAAATTAGCCAGGGGTGGTGGTGCATACTTGTAATTTCAGCTACTTGGGAGGCTGAGGCCGGAGAGTCGCTTGAACTCAGGAGGTGGAGGTTGCAGTGAGCCTCGCACCATTGCACTTTGGCCTGGGCGACAGAGCAAGACTCCATCTCAAAAAAAGAAAAAAAAAAAAACAGAACTGATTCCTGAAACCAGTTTGCTTCAAATCTTGGCTTTTCCACTTACTATACTAACAGTGACCTTGGCCAAGTGACATAACCTCCCTGTGCCTCAGTTTCCTCATCTGTAAAATAAGGCTATTATTTGCCTCATTGCTGTCCCAAGAATTAAATGAATTGGTAAACTTAAAGTGCTTAGAATAGTGCCTTACTAATTAAGTATTACTCAAATATTAGCTATTATTGAGAAGTTCTTTCTGCTATCTGACCTCACTCACTCCTGCTGCATTTTTTGGGGCCATTGTTTTTTGTTTCACCCTGATCAGGGACAAAGCCCAGCAGCTTATGACCCATTTTAGAAGAGGTCACTTGGGCCACCAGATGCCCATGAAGCAGACTGTCCCTCTCTCTTTCCAGCTCATGGCATCTCAGTACATTTTTCCACAAGGAGCTCAGCTATGAGCAGAGAAGAGGGGATGGGGTTTGGGCTGGAGCCTTCCATGGAGATGCTGAGAATTAGCAGGAGCTGCAGAGGAGTAGAAACTGCCCTGGGGCAGTGGAACCTAAGGGGAAGGAGGATGGAACCAAGCTCCTGGGAAGCACACCCTGCATTTATCCCTTGCCTTTTATCTGTGGAACTCCGAGCACTTCTCTTATTGCTGGGGAGTCATCAGCCTCCTCCTAGGACACATGGCAATTCTCAGACCTCCAGAGGCAGCCCAGGCCTCAGAAATCACCTCCACACAGACACTGCCACCACTACCAAACACACACACACATTATGCAAAAGGAGAAAACAGGTCACGGGTATGGAGCTGTATCCAGACCCAGCTCTCCCAGCTTCCAGGTCTGGCATCTTTCTACTGAAGGATGTGTGACTCCAAGGGAGTCCTGCTGCTGAGAAAGAAACCCAGGTAGCTCATTTTTCAGTTCCCACCGCCTTGTCTGTGCATAGCGCCAGGAAAGACGATGAGGCTAGTCCAGGGAGGTGTGCAAGGCCAATCACCATCTTCTAGGTCCTGTCACATTTCAGGGTAAGCCTGGGGAGATCTGGAGAAACATAGCCCACAGCTGCAGAGAATACCCCTACGCCACATAGCTAAAGACACCCTCTCTACACCACCCTGTGGCCTCTAACAATTGTCATCGCCACGTGTAGAGGTGACAAGGCAGGGCCTGTGTGGCCACCCTCAGTTGCAAGTATCCAGGCCTCATAGAAGTCCAGCCCACTGGGTCTGCTCCCAGCTCCTGCTCAGGGCCCCAGTTTCGGTCCTGGCCCCAACTGTCTGGGGCAGACGCAGGCACTGTGCCATCTGGCCAGCTGGAGGGGGAGCAGGGTGGGGCCATGGCCAGCTGGGCTGCCCGGAGCAGGGAGGCAGGGGGCTCGTTAAGACACACAATTAGCCGCCCTGCCTTTGATCTGGGACAGGGACTGCCAGCATCTAAGTGGAGTCAGCTGCTGCTACAGGCTGCAGCAGCCAAAGGCTGGGAAGGGGCTGGGGGAGGAGGTTTGGAGGGCAGGGGAGGGTGCAGGAGAGAGGATTCAGGAGCCAATGGGAACTAGAAGGGGTTAGAGAAGCTTGAGCCCTACCCATTCAAGTCAAAGAGGGAGGGAAGGGGAGAGGTCTGGTCTCCATTCTCTCCATGCAAATAATCTGTGCATTGCTCATGTGCCTGGGGAGAGAGAGAGAGACTGATGTGCATGTGGGAACACTTAGGCGTGACTCTGAATGGAGCCACACATATGCAAAAACAGGAGTAGGTGTTTGGTGTGTGCGTGTATATGTGTGCGCGTGCGCCCATACACATGTCAGTTTCATTTCTTGGCATGCTCCCACATTACACCAGCTCACCTCTCTGGGTACACAATGGGACTTTGTGTTGGCCTTGCGATCTGGGAGATGGTATAGAAGGGGATTGGGTGCAAGCTTTAAAGTCAGCTGGCCTGCTTTTGACTTCTATCTCCACGGCTCACTTTCAAGCTGTGTGACTAATGGCAAGTTACCCAACTTCTCTTAGTTTCATTTATAAAATGAGAATAAGAATAGGATCTACCACATGGGGACTGTTTGAGGATCTTAAAACATGGAAAAAATGCTGTAGATTCTAATGATACCCAATTAATTAGCCGACATATACTAACACACAGCAGGTGCTTAGTATATGTCGGCTAATTAATTGGGTATCATTAGAATAACAGAACCTTAGGTGATCCTGGGATATGAGTACTCCATGCCTTGGTTTCCCCATCTGAGCACCACTCCCATCCCTGGATGCCTTAGGCATAAAACCAAGAGGATGAATGTAAAATGTAGGTGGGAGAAAAACAGGCCAGGGCCATGGAGAGCAGAGCCTGGAAGCCCACACTGCTGGCTTCCCCTGGGCTGGGAGCCTGGCTCTGGGCCTCACACTCCCTCTTTCCATCCATTCCAAATGGGTCTCTGGGCCTTAGGGAAGATAGAACCTAAACTGTGTGGGAGCTCCCAGGTACTGCTGTGTGAATCTACTACACTTCGCTCCATCAAGCCTCTCCCTGACCTCTCCTCCCCTCTCATTCCAGTGCTGAGCCCAGCTCCCAGCAGCCCCCTCCTCAAACTTCCCTCCTGTCCTCAGTGAGAGAAGAAGGTGGTCTCTGTTCCTCACACTGAGGCACTCCCTTCTAACAGATGTTCTGCCCAGCACCCAGCCCAGGCACCAGCCATCTAGGTTCTTAGTACAAAAAGCTGGGGCTACCAGTGCCATTGGCACTAAGGTCACTGCTGCTCCTGGACTAGGTGAAGCAGCCAGCATGGGCTTGGGGGCCACCCACAGCTTTTTCTGACCCTCTCTATTCCCATGGGAAGCCCCTGTCCCTGTCTCCCACGGCCTAGGCTTCACACCCGCACACCCGCTCTCCTCGGCTGGATAAAATGCTGTTGCAGGCCTCACCTTCCGAGGCTTGTCCACTCCAGATGCTCAAGCCCTCTTGCCCCTCCCTCTGTCAAAACCCCATCCCCCCAGTTTAGCTCATCTCAGGGAAGGTGTCAGGACAATTAGATGATGATAGGCATTAAAGAAGGCCCAAGGGACCCAGGACCCCCACCCAAGCAGTGTCTGAAGTTTAAACATGACAGAATCCACATTGAAGAGGACCCTCACCGACTGATAACCTGGGTCAGAAAAGGGGTCAGCACCCAGATATTCCACTGGGTCACCTGAGCCCATACAATGGACAATCCATAACTGCAAAAGAAGGGAGATTCCTGGTGGAAGGAAGTAGACCAGGAGCTGACTGACACGGGTGAGTGGCATCATAGGATTCCAATTTAGCTAGTCCTCCAGAAGATGGGCCAAGATGGACTGAGAAATGACTGCCCCCTCAGAAGGCTGAACCTGCAGGTGGAGTCAGGGGTGCAGTGGTAGCCATGGAAGAGAGGAGTGGAAGATTTATTTTCAGAAGCCCAGAGTCCCTTCTGAGAAGCCAGAGGTGGAAATGAGGTGTGAGGTGTGGCATTGAGGGGCATTGATGCGGAACGGAAGCCACAGAGTTAGGCCAGTGTCCTGAGGCCCAGGGAAAATGCCCAGCCTCTCCTCTGCGGCTGGAGCCTGGCAGCCACTGTCCCACTCCCTCTGCATGCTGGATGCCTCCCTGCCCTGGCTAGCCCCGGCAAGTCGTCCCCCTCCAGCCCTAACCTCCCCCTACCACCCGTCCCCCCAGCTCACCTCGTGCTTATTAAACTGCAGGTGAACCCGGGAGCGCCTGGCACTCAGCCAGCCCCGGGCTGTTCTGCCGCTCTGAACTCTCCCCCAGCCCCAAGATCCTCAGGCAGACCGCGCGGGCCTGACCCAGCGAGCCACTCAGGGGACCTGAGTTCACTCGGTTTAGAGGGAACAGGAGGACAGAGGGGACCCCAGGGCCGAAGAGAGGTATGCAGAGCTTGCCTTGCCTAACCTGAAGCAGCAGGAGTGAGAACCTCAGCGCCTACCCCAGTCCCCTGCGGGCAGAAACCAAAGCCAGAGTCCTCCTGGGGGCCCCGAGGGCCCCAGAGGGAACCGCGTCTGCGGGGAGCGCGGATGACCTAGAAACCCGAGGGTAGGAGCGGACGCGCCGCGGCGGAGAGCGCCGGCCGGGCCTGGCCAGGGCGTGAATGGTGCCTTGGCCTGTCACTTCGTGTCGGCGCGCGGGCGGCGGTACGGGGAAGGGCGTGCGGTCCGAGCTGGGCAGGCCCGGGGGGTCCTGGGCAGCAGCTCCTGGACGGCTGGAGGGGCTCGGGCTGCGGCGGGGCGGCAGCGGGCGGGAGGCGGAGGGAGCCCGGGGCAGGGCGGGGGGCGCCCTCTGAGAGCGGCGCGGCTGGAGCCGGGAGCCGTCTGCCGCGGCCCGCGGGGATTAGTTAGCGGCTGCATGCCGCCACACGCGTCGGGCTGGGCTCGGCCGGGTAGAAACAGCGCCCGGGGCGCGCGGGGGAGAGAGGAGGGAGCGCGCGGAGGCGGGACGGGGCGGAGGGCCTGGGGCTGGGCTGGTGGAGGCTGGGGTGGCCCCTGACATGGGGGCTCAGGGGATGCAACCAGGGGACCCGGTGTGAAAGGGAAAGGCCAGGGTTTCTGCGTTTTCCGAATTTGGGGTACAGCCTGACACCCCAAGAAGCCTCAAGACCCAAGGCTACAAGGTGTTTGCATACCCCTCTCCTTCCACATCCACTAAAAATTGGACAAGACCTAAGGAGCTATGGCTACAGGTGCCCACAATGTCCCACCCAGGCCACTGAGAGGAGAGATAGATATCCAGCCAGGCCCATCCCAAAGGCAGGGCCCCATATTTCCCAAAAGATTTGAGTCAAGGCCTGAGAGACCAGGCCAGAAGGTGGGTGTGAGCAGAAGTGAGTGACAAAACCTCCTGCCATCTCCAGCCCAAGCCACTCTAGGGATTGTCCTGGTGGGTCACCCAGAAGTCCGGGAGGGAGGACAGGGAAGAGGCTGCCGCTCCTCTAAGCTGTGAGGGGAAGAGGGGTTGACAGGACTTCCAGGCCTGCCGGCAGGAGCCACAGCATACAGGTGCACACACACCCAGCACCTCTGATTCAGAGAGGGTTTTCCAGAGGCCACAGGGATGACACATGGGCCGGTAGTGTCTCCTACCGGGAGGAGCTTTGCAGAAGTGCAGACTCTTTGCCTGTCCAGACTGCCCCCACCTGCGCCATTGAGCAAAGTCATCAACCCCTCCTCATGCTGACTCTGGCTTCTTCCCCACGGGCTCCCCATCCTAAATGCTGTTTACTAAGTAGAGGGTAAGTAGAGGCAAGCGACAGGTACAGATATTTCCTGGGCTTGAGATATGCAGCGTCAGTAATAGGGCAGGATGACTCAGGAGTCCAGTTCTCAGGCATGGAACCTGCCACCCTCAGCCCACACAGCCCAGTCTGGAGCCACACTGCCCCATTTCTCTGCCCTCATGGCCTTTCTGAGACCAGAAAGATGAAGGAGAGCAGCATGGCCAGCAGATGGGCACATGGGGGTGGGAGGATGCCAGCTTGAGGCAGTGGGTTAGAAATGGCTGGGAATGAATTCTGAGGTGGAGATGCTTGATGGGGCAGATAGGGGCAAGGGTGAGGGGCAGCTACCTCTGCTGAAGATGGGACTGTCATAGGGGATCTTGTTTCGAGTCTCCAGGCTTGAGCAGTTCCAGCGCTGGTCCCGGAATTGGTGTTGGCATTCGTGGATGGCGATCTGGATGCCCTGTATGGCTGAGGCAGCCACGTCAGGGTGACGCACACACACCTCCATTTGCCTGCGGCTCAGGCCTGGCAACGTTAGGCACACCGTGTTGGCATTGAGCACGGGCTCCGGGGGGAGGCGGAGGTCCAGAATGTCATTGGGTGCTGACCTGCAGACATGTGGGGTGGAGTGGGTAAGTGTTTCGGGGGGACCAGGAGAGCCCCATCTAACAACACACACTGTCTCAAAGGCCATAATCACTCCCTATTCCAACCTCTGCTTCTGCATGGTGGCCCACATTCCTCTTTCCTTGACCTTCTCACAATCATCCTGCCCGATGCAACTCACCCAGCTAGCTGCACACCCACACAGGTAAACGTGCAAATGCACATACCTCCTCCATGCCTGTGGACACAGTATTTCCTATGTGCATCCCCAGCATAAGCCCATACACGCAGGGTCCCCCAGGAGCCCACTCCCACAGGTATGTTTCAGTCACATTCACACAGACACACTTCCACACACATTGTGGTGGATACACAAACAACCCCAACACACTTGCACACATGCACACTTTATCATGGTACACACACACTCACATTTACACGTGTTCATCTTAGCATGCATTGACCCATGAGCTCTCGCATGCACACATGGGCACACAATCAAAACTATTACTTTTGTGTATTTACCAACACAGTTTGCTGGGATCCTGGGCCCGATCGCACGCGCACGCGCGCGCGCACACACACACACACACACTCTCACAGCTCTTGCAGCTGCAGTCTCTCACTGACCCCACCTGGGCTATCCCCTTCCAGCCTCCCAACCCTTGCCCCTAGCTGGGGCTGAGCTGCAGGAAGGAGTGAGGCAGTCTGTGCTTACTCCTGGGGTGGGGGTGCCTTCCTCCAACAGGGCAGGAACTCCAGACTGGCACTTGCTCCCCCATACACACCTCCCCTCCTAGTTGCCATCCTGCTCCTGGGCACTGCCCTGTCTCCCTGGACGGCCCACATCCTATCACCGTCCAACCCCCTCCTATAGGGAGCTCACTGCCTTTGGTTGGGCACCAGCACTTTCCTATGACCCTGTCCCTCCCTCCTTGCAGGGTCCTCTACCCCAGAAAGAGCAGCAGAGGCCCCTGCAGGGCCCCCGGTCCTAACTCTCTAGGAGGGCGGAGCATGAGGCGAGGGCTCACCTGGGCATGGCAGCAGCCAGCAGCAGTAGGAAGAACAGGAGCACCCAGAGCGCTGGCCGCGGCTGGGGCTGGGGACGGAGCCGCAGCCAGGGGCGAGGGTGGGCGCTGCCCATGGCGCGCAGGCCCTGACGGGCTGGGAGTGGGGGACTCACAGCCCAGTGGGACTGGAGAGCCAGGGGCGCCGGCGCATGATCGCCGGGGGGTCGGGGCGGCTGCGACACACAGCTCCGACTCGGGTCAGGGCTCCGGGAGCAGACGGCGCCCGCCTCCCCGCTCCATGGGGCAGCACCCCCGGGCACCGCCCTCGGGGGGGGGCGGGGGGTGAAGAGCGGGCGAACCGGGCACCTCCTGGCACAGGGGTCCGGGGAATTTCCCGAGGCCCCCCTGCGACAACTCCCGGTGCCTCTCGAGAGCAAGGGGGGCCCGGAGGTGCAGCGGGCTGGGGACGCAAGGCTGGGGTGCCAGGGAGCCCTCCAGCGCAGCGCTAGGAGCCTGCGCTTGCTAGGCGGGCTGTCTGGGGCGGCGCTGTCTGTGCTGGGCCCCACTGCCTGGAGAGTGAGTGACTGTCCCGGCTCTGGGAGCTCTGCCGCCTTCCCATTCCTCCCCCCCTGCCCCCCCCATTTAGTGTCTCAGGGCTCTACCCCACGTGACGTCACGCGGCGGGGCGTGGAGGCGTGTACGAGTCCCGAGGCCACTGTGTCCGCTGGGGACCCAGGGTGGGAGCGGCCCTGCTGAGGGCAGGAGGGTAAAGGTGTTGGGGTCTGGGCGCGCGTGCACGGGAAGATGCCTGGGTGTGGAGCGCGCAGGGTTGTGTGGGGCGGGGTGGGGGGGGCGAAGGGGAGGTGTTACCGCGAGGTGTGTGTGCCTGGCTGAGACGCAGCTGCTGGGGAGCGCCCCCATTCCACCCCAACACACACACCTGCAGGGGCTGGAGGGGAGGAGCTGGCCTCTCTGTTTCGCCTCCCCCACCAGAGGAGGGACTTCCCCCGGGCCTGCCTGCTGTGAGGCAGGTGTGGGTTCCTGCGAAGGGGTTTGGCAGCCTCAGGCTTTTTCTCTTCTTTGCTGTGTTACCTTAGACAGGTGCCTCCTGCTCCCACTCACGGAGACCCCCTCTGCCCCTTGATGAAATGTGGCTCGGGGGACCGCCTCGTCTCCTCAGTGAGCCCGTGGAGGCAGCAGTGTCAGGCCCCCAGAAAATGTGTGAGCAGGAACACAGCGCCCTGAGTGGCACGCCCTGGGAGACGTTAGAAAGCCTTTTAACCCTAGAAGTGGGTCTTGAGATAGCTTATTTAGCTCCCCTCTATTTCACAAGAAAATATTGAGGCTCAGAGGGGTCACACAGCAAATAAGTGGAAGAGCTAGAACCCAACGCAGCTCTCCTGACTCCCATGTTGCCAGCTGCGGCCCCATCGCTGAGTGTGCCTGGCTGTGCCCGCAGACACTCTCAGTTTTATCCTGGCCCTCCCTGGTCCCACCTGCACATGGTCCTCTAGGAGCTCCCCCAGCCTCCTGAGTCACATCTACTCGCTGAGATCGCGTCTTGTCCCTCCACCCCAACTGGGGTCCTCCTCAATATGGGGCAAGGGTAGGGGAAAGCCAGAGGGTAGGGGAAAGGCAGCTCTGCCTTTGGTTATGGTGCTAGCCTGGGCCCCGATCGTGGATCCTCCTCCTGCCCTGTGCCCTCGGCATCCTCCTCTGTAAAATGGGCACAAGCCTCCCACTCTACACACACATCCTTCCCACCCAATCACCCTTCTCTCTGAAGAGAGCCCCTGCTGGCTTAGGGACAGAACTATGGGAGCCTCTGGGCTCAGAGACAAAAAAGGACCCATTCCTGGAATTGCCCATCCCTGGAGAATTGAAGGAGGGACTGAGGCCTTCCTTGTCCCCAGACTGTCAGGTGGTGGGGGGCAGCCTGAGCAACAGCAGGCTGACTGCATACTCCCCCCTCCTTTCCCCCATCTCTGCCGGCAGCCACCGCAGCTGTCAGGAATTAAGGGCTTGAGGCTGCTGGGGGTGGGGTTGGGGCAGTGGTGGGGGGGAAGCAGTCTGGCTGGACTGCAGGAAAACAGCCAGGGGCAGCAAGCAGACTGCGTCAGCCAGAGCCTTATTTGACCCCAACTGCCCCCTGCCCTCCCCACTCTCCCCATCAAGCTGCAGGAACAGGGACAGCTTGGGACTAGCATTTGGGAAGGGTAAGAGGGAAGGATAAGGGTGGGACCAGACTCAACACAGAGGAGTGGCACCAGCCCAGGATGGGAGAGGACACCAGCAGGCTGGAGAGTCATGTTCTCATTGGCTATTGGGGAAACTGAGCCCCATAAAGGATTAGGAACATGATACGAGGAGGGGATTCATAATCAGGTTGCAGATGTCCTATTCCCCATCTTGCTCTCACACTAGCATTTCCCATGCTTGATGCAGCACACGTATCCCCTGGGGTGGGCTACTGTGGGAAGGCGGATTCCAGGCTCCATGCAGCTGAATCTGCCTTTCCAGGGACAAGGTCTGGGGGTCTGTCTTTCTAGCTAGCATCCCCAGTGATTTTGGTGGGGACTCCTTTTGGGAAACGCTGCTGACCTGGTTGAGGAATGGATTTAGTTTCCTTTTGGTATCTCTGTGATGATGGGGGGTCTCTTTGTTCCCCCCTCCACTGTTCATGAAATATAGAGGTGCAAAGGAGACAGAGAAAATTTTGTCTTAAAAAGAAACTCAGGAGGTAAATGGTGATTCCTGAGGCTTGCACTCAGGCGTGGCTCTGGCCTGGTGTCAGGAGGGTCCCAAGTCAGAGCTTCTCAGTGCAGGGAGGGGAGGGTCTGTGTCTGCCCAAAACCTTGGCATGTGTGTAGGTGAGGCCCAGAGACTGTCTGCAGCTGAGGCCCCAGCCCCATTATGACCCATACCATGGCCAAGCCCCTATCGGCACCCCCCAGTCCCCACCCTGGCCCTGCCCTGGGCCCTGGACCTCAGCCCAGCCCCAGCCCCCGCAGCCGCCGCCTAAGACCACAATTACAGGGGCCACTGGGGGGCGGGGGAGCACTGGGGATGAAAGGCAGCTTGGAGAATGGTTCCAGCTGTGGCAGCTCTGGAGAAGGTCACAGGGAGGAAGGGCCAGGGGAGGCACCAAGGTGAGAACAGGTGGGACCCTCACAGCCCCAGCTTAGCCCAGTCCAGCCCCAGCCCAGTCCTGGAGAAGTCTGTCTTGATGAAGAAGAGAGCCAAGGAGCTCCAGGCCAATAAGGGGGCTCTTTGTCTTGTTGTCCAGGCCCCAGGGGCCACTAACCCCTAAGGGGGAATGGCTGCTGCTTCAGTCTCCCCAAACTCCTAATGCGTTTGGTCATTGAAAGGGAAGGGAAATGTTCCCCGAGCCCTCAGCCTCAGGCTAATTCTAGGCCTTCTACTTGGCCTCCTCACCCATCTGCCTGTGTTCTGCTTGTTCCTGATGTGGTCACACAAACATCTGGGGTGCCTCTGCGCACTTCCCCCCATCTCCCCAGTTCCACATGTCCCCTGCCACTCAGCCAGCAGGGGACTTTGATGGCTCAGACTGCCTGGGGCTGAGCAGCTGGATGACAGGGGTGTGGTGGTGGTGGGAGCTCTCCTTCTGGCCCCTTCCCAGGCAGCAGGGCAAGAGCACAGATCTGTCTCTGGGCTGAAAGAAGATGAGACTAGGGGTCCCAATGGTGCCTCCTGGGTCACAGAAGGCAGTTCCCAGATGCCTTCAGGGTTTGGTCACAGAAGGTGGACCAGTGACGTGTGGCCAGCAGTTTAAAGACTGAAGTGGACTTTCACAAAGTGCTGGAAAGCGATCAGGCACCCCTGTTAGGTAATAGCAAGTGCTCAGACAGGTTAACTGACTTGACCAAAGTCAGACTAGAGAGCAAGGCTGTTTTCATCGCACCGCACTGCTTCCTCTGAGTTCCTCTTCACCTGCCTGGGGCGGTGGCGGCTCACGCCACTTCCCCAGTTTCTCTCTCTGGCTTGGTGGCTCACCATCCACCCTATCTCACCTCCTGCAGGACCCAGCAGTGGCCAAGACCAGGAGGCTGGTGTCCCAGCCCTAGGTCTGGGTCAGCCCAGACATTCCAGACGCTCTGGAACCCTAGAAGCTTGACCCGAGCTGTCAATAGGTCTCCTTTGCTTCCCTTCAGTCCTACCCTCTCCTGCCCACCATTCTCTGAGTTTCCCAGATGTCCTGCGGGTCCAGTCTGTCACTCGCTGCTAATAGAGAAGCTGGGCTCCGCATGCCCCCTGGTGGTCTGTGTGAGAAGTGCAGGAGTTTGGGTTTGGGGTTCGTTGGTTTGAAGACAAGCGCAGAGCTTTAGGGAAGGCAGATCTATGATTACAAAGCTTGCCCTCGCGGAGCTTCATTTCTCCTCCCTGTGAACCATAATGTAGTTCCACTGTCTCCTTTGGTAAGTTAACAGTTTCCTTTGGTCGAGGAGTTCTAAATCCAAATTCTCCGTGACTTCCCCAAAGCCCAGATATCTGACCCAAGGGAGCCAAGAGGAGACAGAAAGGAAAACCCAGGTGCCTCCACCTTCCCGAAGCCTGACACCCCTCTTCACCATCAGCCTTAAGGGTTGAAGCAGGCTCAGTCACAGACTGAATGCAGGGGCATTGCAGCGGAAGGACAGGAGTCCTGGAAGCCATGGTTAGGGTCTGTCACATCCAGAATGAGCTCTCTTTCCTTCTGTTTCATTTGAAGAAGTGTGCTTTGCTCCTTGTGCACCCCCCATTCGTGGTCCTAGAGAGGCCGTCAATCCCAGGCGGCAGTACATCTCCCTAGACACCATTGTTGGTTCAGGAATAAGCAAATGACCAAGCTGCACTAAGCAAGGTCTTCCTTGGGACTTCTGTTGGAGACAACTGGGAAGGTCACTCTTCTTTTTTGGATCTAAGAATGCATATAGAGCATGTCATATGGAGAAAGTCTGCAGGAGGAGACAGCGAGGACAGTATGCCAAGAGAGACAGAGACAAGCAGAAACAATAAATGTAAGGGTGAGGGAGAGGGAAGATGAGAAAGAGGCCTGTGACCATGTGAACCCCTGGGTTCAGCAGTACCTGAATTCAGACTAACCCTTGGACTTCCCGGGCATAACAGCCACTCATTAATTCTGTTTGGACTCTGCAAAAAGTCAGGTGCCTTCATTTGTAATCAGGGCCTGCCCAATAACCGCAAAGCATCGTGTGTCTATCCCCATGTTCACAGTAACTACCATTTATTAAACATATGGTTGACAAAGTATGTGTCATGAGCTATGCTAAAGGCTTTCATATCTCAAAAAAAAAATTCTACCATCAATCCTGTGAAGGGGCGGGACAGATTCTGATGGCTGCAAATTCTTTGCCACACCTTGCATTGAGAGGTGGAATTGATTTTCCCTCCTTTTGAATTTTGCCTGTTTCTGTGACCTGCTTTGGCCAATACAGAGTTACAGTGATGCTATGTAACTTCCAAAGCTGGACTTGAGAAGAAGCCTACAGTTTCTGCCTTTAAGATTGGTACACTCTCTTTTGAAAGCCAGTCTTATGTAAGAAGTCTGATGGTCCTAAGGCTAACATGCAGTGCGGAAGCCCAAGTTAGCCACGTGGAGAGAATGAGAGCACCAGAGAAGCTCTATGCCCTGGACATGTGAATGGGGCTTCCTGGACTGCCCAGCACAACAGAGACTCCAGCAAAATGCAGCCATGAGAACCCAAGCCAATTGTTCTGCTATACACAGCAGACCTACTGAGCTGAGTTCTGACAAATCACGACCTCAAGATTCCTGAGAAGTAA